AAGTGACAGCCCTAATTATTGCAATTTAAAATAACAGTTTTCTATGTGAATATCTAGTAAAGTGTAATTTATTCCTGTGATCAAAGCTGAATTTTCAGCATCATTACTCCAGTCTTCAGTGTCACATGATCCTTCAGAAATCACTCTAATATGAGGATCTGATGCTCAAGAAACATTTCTCAGTCATTTGGAAACAGTTGTGCGTCTTCATATCTCTGTGGAAACAGTGATGCATCATATTTTTCAGGATTCTTTGCCGAATAGGAAGTTCTCACCCTCTTTGCCCAGTAGGAAGGAGTAGAAGGCGATGTGGTTGGTGGTGAGGTAAAGCGAGCCCTGGCGCGGGACGTGACCCTTCCAGCAACAGCAGGAGTGATGCGAGACCAGCTTCTCTCGCTGAGGGAGACCGAAGCGCTGCTCGAACCGCGCCAGGTCTTCCCGGAAGCGTGCCGGGTCATCCTCGCCGGCAGCCGGGCCGCCCAGAACCTCCTCAGCGATTAAACCCTGTGAATGTGCATAGAAATATCAAGATAATAAGAGTCTGGGCTGAACTGAATGTCTCTAGAACCACTACCGTTAAGAGATCACGTGTGAACTGGACCTTTTTTAAAAATCCCGGTAAATTGGTTCCGGCAATTCACCAGTATGGGAAGTTGTGACATTTGCAGTAAATCACCGTTTGTGAACTAGAGCTGCACGATTCTGGATAAATTGAGAATTACGATTTTTTATGTTTCAAACAGAGATCAAGATTCTCCAGAATAACAAGTAATTCTGACTAAATGTTAAAGGCTATTTTAAATGTTTAATTAATCTGAATTATAAATAAAAAAAACTTTGAGTGAATGATTCAATGACTCACTCATAAATACCTGTTTCATTACTGGATTAATCAGTGTTTTTGAACGAATCTCTTGAATGAATGATTCAATGACTCACACATTTTTAACAGTCACTTGTCGCCACCTACTGGTGTAAGGATGTAATCAATCTTTATTTGAAGCGCCATGTTACTTCAAAAGGTGATTTACTCTATTTTGATCGCTTCTGTAGAGAGCAGTGTTTTTATCCGCACTATGATCTTTTATCACAGTACTTTTGTGATAATATGATTATTTGTAGCACAAATACACACAATGCACCTTTAAACTGCACAATTATTGTTATAATTATCTCTACTAATAACCACAATCGAATGATTAATCAACAATCGCAACAGGCCTGGTAGGAAGGTCTGTGCTAGGGCTGTTGGAACGAATTCCGAAATTCGAATATAATTTGAATATTAAAAAAAATCAATACTATTCGAATGCTGAAGTTACTATTCGAATATTGTTTTTTTATGTATATTTAAATTTTTTTATATATATAAACAGGAAAGAGGCCGCACTATACAGAAATTGTTTTATTTGCACAAACGCGTTTCAAGAAGGCACGCGCCGAAACGCATTTGTGCAAATAAAACAATGTATGCATAGTGCGGCCTCTTTCCTGTTTAACGTTATATATTCTAATCATCAGGCCAGCATTCTTAAAGTTTTAGTTTAATCATTGAGTGAAGCCTGCTCCTATTCCCATTCATTAATTTTTTTTATATGGAATCTTGCCTTTCTCGCCACCTTGAAATGCTTTTGTTTCGTCTGATGAACAATAACGTTTTTGAATCGTAACACAATTGTGCACGTTATCCACGCTGTATCATCATAACAATACTGTCAAAAATGGTACATGTTTAACAACGTAAAAAAGCGCCCGTGAAGCGCAAATATCTTGGTGAAAACTCAACGGATTCGGCGAGCACCAAACTCGCTGGAACCGTCTAGTGGAACTGAAAAGAACGATATAAATTTCAGAATGTTTCGTGGTGTTTTAGCGGAGATATTAGCCGAAAACCATCGGTAGCGCTTCAACCATATTCAGCGTGAATAAAATGTTTATTGTAATGTTAGATGTCCCTCTAATGGACAGAACGTGTAACAACAACCACATGCTATAGTGGCATTGGCGATCCATAAGCCTGAGTAATGTCGTAAATATTAATAATAGGATGAATTTGAGCATTTAATATTCGAATATTATTAGAATATTAAATAAAATAAGGAATGGAATTCGAATAGTATTATAGAGGAAGATTGACAGCCCTAGTCTGTGCATGACAGTACCTTCACTTTGCCCAGTACAAAACTCGCCGCGTCGTCTTTATTCTCGAACACGGCCATGTACGGCAGAATGTTCTGATCCAGCCATCTCCAGTGTTTCTGCACCTCCTCTATCGTGGCTCCTGCAAACACACACACATAATAACATCACACACAGTGACTACATGACATGCTCGTGTTTATGACGGGAGTGTGTCACACGAGTGCGAGAGATGAAAACACACTCTCACCGCTGGCTATGACCCAGCTGACCTGCGACCCGGGAACATGCAGAACAATCCGGAACGGAGCCGCTCGCGCGTTTGAGTCCAACACAGTGTCCAACGCGCCCACCAGCAAACCTGCAATACACACAGACCATATAGATTATAAGGGTTTGATGCTTAATCCCTTCTTTTCCTCCAAGGAGCACGTGTTCCTAAGTTTAAAAATGAAAATTTAATTGCGAAGGTATTTTGGGTGGTTGCTAGGGTGTTGCTAGGGTAAGCAGCTTTGGAACAATCTACATTGTTAAAAGCGCTATATAAATGAAGATGACTTGACTTGTTCTGGGTGGTTGCTAGGCAGTTGCTAAGGTGTTCTGGGTGGTTGCTAGGGTATTTTGGGTGGTTGCTAGGGCATTTCTAGGCGGTTGCTAGGGGGGTTCAGTGCGGTTGCTAAGGTATTTTTGGTGATTGCTATGGTGTTGGTTGGTAGTTGTCACAGATGGTTACTATGGAGTTTTTATAGAGTTCTTAAAATCTTCAGTAACGAGTGCCTTTAGTACGGACAGTACAACAAATAAAGTTTTTCCTTATTCAATAGAAGTCATTCATTTTCAATGTGAGCCGGCGGCGTGTCTTGGGCGGCGAGAGCGTCGAGGAGAGTTGAAGTCAGGTCAACTTTATGGTAATGAGCTATGATGCGGTTCGGCGGCAACCAATGGGAATGTAGAAGTCTGAGAGGATTCCAAGGAAAGCATTAGTTCCCAAGCAAAATGGAGGAGAGGCTGATCATGTGAATTTGATAAGAAGGCGTGCAACACTATTTATAGGCAGGATTTTCGTGCTAGAACGCTTGTTTTTCAGCGGGAATGCAAATTAGACTAGCACTTAACCATGAACACAAAAGCCACACCACCACACAAATGGCTCTTAATTGGATTATTTCGTTAGCAAACATGTCATTATAATTGTTGAGTTCTTTCCATCGATCAATTTCTTACTTTTACATTTAAAAGATTCCATGAGGTTCACTTATACCCTACTTGTGGTCAGTCTGCGCAAATAACGATCGACATGCTTGTTTGCTTTCCGGCCCCTTTAAAGCTGCAGTCGGCAAGTCTGGCAGATTGAGTGGATTTAGGCAAAATTTTGAATGTTTACAACTCTCATGCCCCTCCCCCACTATCAACGGATACCCTCCCACCGAGTTCGAGCTCGTCAGTGCGTGTGCACCAGGTTATCTGTGAACACCCCCGTCTCATCAGCATCCATCAACACCATGGAGTATTTGGAGGTATGCTGTCCTGGCTAATCTTCTACCGATAGATTGCAATTGCTAACGTCATTTATACTTTAAATGAGCTTACTTGATTTGTTAGTGTTTTGAAAGCGAGATACATCCGCCATCACTCTTCGTTACTGCGCGAACTTCAGGCGTGTGCATGTGATTGTAGCGTGCGCGAGGGGGGGGGTGTGCCCGATCTGTGATTGACAGTCAGATCTCACACCCCCTGCGCTGATTGGACAGATGATCCGGGAGCGGTGGATTTTTGCAAAACAAATAACACGCTCCAGGTGGAGTTAGAAGCTCGGGTTTTTTTCTAAAACCACTTTATTTATGTTGTTCTGTCGGATTATAGTGTCGATTTCACTGAATATGATCAAAAAAATGTTGCCGACGGCAGCTTTAAATAAAGTTTAAAGAAAGACCAAGCGTTCGATCTACGTCAGCGTCCGCGAATCTTTCTACGGCGGCGGCGGCAGTCAAAGAGGATACAAGGAGACATTTAATTTATTATTATACAAAACATACACTAGGTTTTTTTAATATTTCTGCTTCAAACTGAAGGCTATCTAATAATAAATATGTTATTTTTAAGGCCTACTTTAAAATGCATAACTATATATATAGGAGTTTATACATTTTAAATAATATACACACACACGTATACAGACAGACATACACACACATAAATTCATTCAATTCACAGTTATTTGTATCGCGCTTTTCACAATACACATCATTTCAAAGCAGCTTTAAAGAAAGTGCACGAGTCCATATTACAGTTTAGAGGAAACTAAGTTATGCATTTCAGAAATGTACATACAAATCACAGTTAGCAAAAAATGTATTAATTTAAACAATGTAATAATTTAATGCAGAAACAATGAGCTCATTGAAGTAATGAATACTAGTTTGTTAACAAAGGATTATGAAATATAGAAAAATGCATCAGTGTTGCGTGTTGATTCAGTGTTTGCGTCATCGTGGGATATATGTAAATACATACATATAATATATATATATTCACACACACATTACATTTAATCATGTAGCAGACGCTTTTATCCAAAGTGACTTACAAATGAGGAGAGCAATAGAAGCAGTTAAACTAAGAATAAGAACAATATGCAAGTGCTGTGACCCTTCCCAGTTTGGTCAAACGCTGTATATGTATTTATTTATTTATTTTATATATATAGAAATATAGAGTAGACAAGAAGAGAAATGAAAGCGTTAGTATTAATGAATCAAGTGTTGTCGAAAAAGATGCGTCTTCAGCCGTTTCTTGAAAATGTAATATTATTAATATATATATATACACACACACATAGCAACACACACACATAAGGACCTGTAGGAACTTTTTTTATTTGCACACATGCTGCTAAATAGATTTGAAAGTTCACACACATCTATTTTTAATCGCACATGCAAGTGAAACTCTCACACTTTTGAGCCCTGCATCACACAGAAAGACAATATATAAACAGCATCAGCATTTTATATTAATGCACATGATATTAATGCAACTAATATATTAATGTGACTCATGTCTGTTTACAGGTGCACATCTGTGCCCGTCCCTGTGTGCTGCATGAGTTATTAGTTTACCATTCTTCACATGACCTGTTTTAACATCAGCATGACAAAGTTTCACTTTCCTATTTGAGCTGCACAGCCGAATCAGCTCGAATGCAAACGAGACAAGAACACACGAGTGGAGACGCAACCGCTGATAACATCGCAGACATAGCGCTCGGAAACAGATTAAGAGTAAAGGTCGAGCTTACTGAAGTAAACACCTTTGTTTATGCAAAAAAAAACTGATTTAAAACATTTACATCATTATAGATGGACTGCATGTCTTTCTATTGAGCTGCGAACAAACACAAGTGACTCTTACGAACTGATTCTTTTAATGAATCATTTAAAAGACTCTGACAAACCCTTGACTGAATTAACTCACTGAATTCATTAATATTTTGCTAAGAACTAGAGGAACTGTTTTGTTTTTATAAACAATGAGGTTACATTTAATATTCAGTAATATTATCGATTTTGACTCCACTGACACTATCAGATGAGAAGTGAATTGAACTGAATTATGGCACTATTGTCTTGTGTAGAGCTATAGTTTATAGCTGAAATTGAATTTGTTTCATAATTGAGGAACTTTACACAGTTACTGAATTGAATCGACACTGAAGTGAACTAAGCTGAACGCCACTACTGTCTTTTTTTAGAGCTGCTTTACAGCTGAATTGAATTTGTTTTACAATTGATGAACTTTGCACTTTGTTTATTACTGAACTTTGTTTATTACTGTACTTCTGTATTGTATAGAAATAACTGTGACTTGACGTACTCAATGGTTTTAAATTGCATCATTGATTGTGAATTGATTATGTCAATCAGTGCTTAATAAGCAAGTCCTTTACTTACAAAACATTTGAACACACAATCCTATCTTTGTTTGCTTTGAATCAAATGCTGATTCATCTGGTTAGTTGCAGCTGGCTGGTTTTGTTCAACGCTATATATTGATTCATATTTTGAAGAAAATGAATGAAAAGTGCCCGCTGACTGTATCAAGTCAAGTCACCTTTATAAAATACAGATTGTTTCAAAGCAGCTTTACAGGGATAAACTAGGCCTAATAACAATATATATCACGATATAGTATCTTTTCTGTAAATTCAATCGACTAATGTTTAATGTTTATTTATATATCTACCACATGGAAAATACTTTCTTATTTTGGAGGCTCAAATCTAATTTTATTTATTTGTGAGTTTCATAAATTTTTGTGAAACTCTCTACATTTATTTTTTAATCTTAATCTATTTATTTGTGAATTTGATCAATTTTTGTCAATCTCGATCTATTTATTTGGAATAATGCAACCATTCTAACCCCATATTTAGGAAGCACTTAAAAAGAAAATGGCGTTTCTGATTGTAAATCTGATTGTATGGCGTTTCTCAATGAAAAACACATCAAAGGTCGACAATGGGGTTTCTCAACATTGTTGAATCTAGATATGTCCACTGGTCACATGTCGACGCTCCTTAACGAGGCCATATAATGCCCTTTTAGAAAGTCTTGATTTTGTTTTTGAGGTCTACTAGGTTTTCATGCTTGAATGGGGTCATTCAAGGTAATGACACCACAATCAAAATGAAAATTAAAGTTAATTACGAACCCCAGGATCTCTCTTTAACACAAGCTAATGCAAATCACATTCTCTCATATGGCTCTCGCGTCTCCTTTTAATGTATAATTTCCTCTCTGCAGGACATTTCCCAGCCGATAGAGAAGTATAAGCTATTGTGTGGAATAACAACAGCACCCGTTAAAGCAGATTTGACTGAACATATATATATAGCAATATAGCACAGCAAAATAATCTGTACTGAGCTCGAATGAGACAAGAACAGAGAAAATATTGCTTATTCTGTTGCTTAAAGGGTTAATTCACCCAAAAATATAGTAATAATTTGTGTTCTGAAGATGAACGAAGGTCTTATGGGTTTGGAACGGCATGAGGGAATTTGTATATTGTAATAATTAATGTCAGAATTATCATTTTTGGGTGAACCAACCTTTTAAGCCTTTATTTGACATGTTGAAGAAAAATAACTGTACTCACTTTTGTTTTTGGTTTTAAATATAATCTAAGACGCCAATATGAATGTAAATTGTTTAATTATTTTAGTATAGGCATGTCTAAAATGGCCATATTTATTAGCAGGAAAGAAAACCGTGAACAAAAAAGTGATTTTAATGATGTAATGGTGTTTGCAGCTATGATTAAAACAAGACTTCTAATTTATTTTCATTTTTATAAAGCTAT